GTCGCATCCGGAGGCCAGTTTCTAAGGCGGGCCGGGCGTTTCGCCTGAGACTTCCTCCCCATGTATGATTCCTCCCCAGAAGTGACAACAGTGTCACAGATGGAGGGCGGGTCGTTTTCAAAATGTGGCTCTCGTCTTGGCGCCGCGCACATTCGTTTTAAACATTTGCAAGAGCTTCACGGACTGAGGGCGGGTCGTTTTCAAAATGTGGCTCTCGCGTTAGCGCCGTTTTGTTTTGTTGTTGTTGTTGTTTTTTTGTTGTTTTTGGATTTGCAAGAATTTAGCGGATTGAGGGCGATCCTTTTTCAACATGTGGCTCTCGCCTTACCGCCGCGCACATTCGCTTTAGACATTTTCAAGAGTTTCACGGGTTCCCATGACCAACGTACCAGTAGCGGTGTTTTGGAAGGATTCAGGATTATGCGGGTGCAACAGTTATGTTGATCCGCGGTGTTGAAGTTCCAAAAAAGGCGCTCTGGCACGGTTCCAGATCGTCAAGACGCAGCAGTCAGGTTGATACTTGGCGTTGGAATTCCGAGAACAATGTTTGGGCATGCTTCAGGATCTTCAAACGGTTGTCTTCCAACGAGACAGTTCCCTCAATGGAGATGAACCGTTGTGGGGGCCTATGAAGAGGGAGCTTGGAGGGAGGGTTAATTTCAACATCCTTGAAGACCCTTGGTTTTACACTGGTCCTCCTCCTCCCCCTCCTCCCCCTCCTCCCCCTCCTCCTCTTGCTCCTCCTGCTGCTCCTCCTCCTCCTCCCCGCAGAAGCGCAGGAGGGCGCGCCTGCCCCGAGGGGGCATCACGCAGACGGCGCGATGCCTGCCCCCCGCCACGGACCGACGAGTGGCAGACAGGGGCCCTGAGATCCCGGCGTCTCAACTTTTTCGAGCCGGGCGCTTTCGCCTTTTTGCCCCAGGACCTTCACAGAGCGATGCGGCTCGAAAAAATGACGCAGAAAGACGGGGTCTAGGACCCCAGGCGTTTTTTTTCGATGTCTTATGTTTTTTTTTGTTTTTCTTCCCCCCCCCTACGGCGGATCTCAGGGGGGAAGGGCACCCGAGTGGCCGGCCCCACGGCGCGAGACAGGCCCCAAACTACGCCACGCCGCACTCGAAGGAGAACCGACTGGGCGTGAGAGTGACCTTTCGCCGGAGTGACCTTCGGCGCGGGCCCAGTGGGGTCCCCCGCTCGCTGAACGCGAAGCGGTGGCAGCGGCCTGCGAGCCCAGGTTTGGCCACCCCGCGTCCCCCGTGAAGCCGCCGCGTCCCCCGCCAAGCCGTGCACCAAAGTTCACTCTTGCCCAGGGTCACTCCTGCGCGCAGCCGAGAGGGGGCAAGGGTGGAGAGAGGGGGAGGCCGAGGGGGCAAGAGGGGGGGAGGAGAGGGCGGCTCGGCATGGCTGTGGGCCCCGCAGGCCGAGGCGGCGCACCCGGAAGGGCCGACGCCCCTCGGCCCGCCCTGGACCCCGAAGGGAGAGCCGTGGAGCGCGCAACCGCCAGGCGCCCCGCCCTCTCTCGGCGCCACCTCCCCGCCAGAGCATGGCTTTTTGTACCCCGAGGGCCTCCAGCGCCCCAGCTGCGCCGACCACCCCACCGGCTCGACCAGCGGGGGGGGCCCCAGTGGTCCTCGGCCCCGCGCAGAGGGGGGCCGTGGAGGGGGGAAGGCTGCTCAGGAGCACCCCTGCTCCTCAGAAGGCGCGGGCCTTATCTGTCGATGTAGGGCCGGCGCCTTTCAAGAAGCAGGGGTGCTTATAACCTTTAAGAAGCCTTCCCCCTCCCCCTTCTCCCCTCCGCGCGCTGCCAAGGATGCCCTGGCACCCTCCGAGTCCTTGACGGGGCCCCGCTCCACAGGGGGTCTCTCTCTCTCTCTCTCTCTTTCTCCGTTGCCCTGCAGCACAGACTAACGGGGACCAGCGAGCGGCGCTGGTAGATCAGTCTGCAGTTGCAGGACAACGGTATGCACACACACATGTATATATACATATGTATATATACATATATATATATATATATATATATATATGTTTACACACATATATATGTATATTCCTAAATTTTTGCAAGCCCGGGCGGGGGGACCCACCCCCCCAAAACTGGACTCCCGGGATTTGGGGCTTTGTGACCCTCCTGACGGGCCTCGAAGCGGCCCCCCAGGCCTCGCAGGGCGTTTTGCGAAGCCTTCCCAGCACACCTAGGGCGATCAGGGGGGTCATCGGAGACGTCCCAGAGACCCTTAAGACAGCACAAGAGCGCTCCAAGAGTGACCGACGTGACCTCAAGATGGCCCAAGAGGCCTCCAGGACGGCGCCAAAGAGGCTTCCAAGAGCACTCCCAAGAAGGCCCCAAGAGGCAAAAATCATTGTTTTTCTGTTGTTTTTTGGTGAATTTTGGGGTGCTCCTCTTTTCGGCTTCCCGACGCTCCAAGACGGCGGTCTTCTGGGCGTCCGAAGCCGCCTGGGAGGCTCCCAAATCGCCCCACAACCGTCCGAGAGGCTTCCAGGCAGTCCAAGAGAGCCCCAAAAAGATGGCCCTCAGAGAGCCCCATGGCGGCCCAGGATGGCCCCAAGACACCCTCCGAAGCATTCTCAATCGTGACCTCGTCGTTCAGGGAGACCGCGGTTGGAGGCAGGAGGCAGGGTGGCCCGAGGAAGCCCCAAGAGGCCCCCAGAATACGCCCAGGAGGCTTCCAGAAGGCCTTAAAAGCCTCCGCAAAAAAGAGCTGAAGAGGATGGGGATAATGCGCAGGGTATGGCGAAAATGAAGAAAAAGAAGCATGGATGAAGGATAACGAATAACACTATTATAGCGGCGCTGCCGGAAAAGGCAAGAAGGAGTTATCGCTAAATTGTCGGCTTGACCTTCCTGCTATTCCGCCTGCATACCAAACTTCAACGACCAAGGTGCATGGCGCGAAACGCCACTGCAGTCGGCAATGCGAAACCCGTCCTTGATTAAAATAACAGCTCAAGGGAAGAGGTCGAGAGCCCCTTGCTTCCTCACCACTCCCCCTGCGCGCGCCGACGAGCGACGGACGACGGACGACGGACGACGGACGACGGACGACGGACGACGGACGACGACGACGACGACGACGACGACGACGACGACGACGACGACGACGACGACGACGACGACGACGACGACGACGACGACGACTACGACGACGCTGACGAATGACGAACACGCTCACAACGGCGGCGACGCTGACGACGACGACAACGACGACGGCGATGCCGACGGCGACGCCGACGGCGACGACGACGGCGACGACGACGGCGGCGACGACGACGACGAGGACGACGACGACGGCGGTGATATCGTCGGCATGCAGCGGCCACGCGCAGGTTCGGCTCCCCGTGGACGAGCGCACCCGCGCGGACCGAGCCCGAGTTCCACCTGCCCCCGTCCTACTACATAAACCCCCCGGCGCTGAAGACGGCCTGCCGCAGCCGTCCCCGTCTTTTCGGGACGGTCGAAATAAGTTCGGAAAGAACGGCTACGATGCCCATTAGCAGTTCCTGTTCATTGTAAACAGAAATCGCTGTCTGCGCCGCCGCGGACGTGGTTCTTTGAAGACAAAATGCCGCCTGCCCAACAGCGGCCGCTGTCGGGCATTGTACCTTTTTTCCGTACCCATTTCGGGCGTCCAAGTTTTTGCTGTTGTCGTTGCTGCTTTTGTTCTGTCTGGCTTTCTTCGGGGAGCGAACAATAACGTAAATATAACAACTCGGAGGTTCGCGTGGATTTATCGGATCGGCGCTGGAGGCCCCTGGCGCGCTCCGCGCGCCAGGGAGGGGGGTCCAGCGCGGATCCGAGAAGTCCGCGCGGACCTCCGAGTAGTTATGTTCAAATCATGTTTCGTTCTCCAATGTCAATTTTCGGTGTGACTTGTATCTGATGGCCTTCGGCCCATCGCTGAACAGTGCGTGGGTTGTGGGGTTTCCGTTCGTGTTACCCCCCTCTTTCGGGTCCTTCTTCGGGCTGTCTTGGAGCCCTTTAGGCGGTCTGGGGGCCCTCTTGCGAGCCTCTTGGGCCGTTTTGGGGCTGTCTTGGTGGCCTTTTTGGCAGTTTTGGCGTGTTGGAAGCTTGAAAAGTCGAGGACCCTCAAATCATGGAAACACCAAAAGCAAGCAGATGGTTTTGGCCTTTCATGGCCCTCTTGGGAAGGCTCTTGGGGTTCTCTTGGCTCGCCTCGAAGGCCCTTGGGGCCGTCTTGGGGCCCTCTTTGACAGTATTGGGGGCCTCTTGGGGGCTTGGCCATTCTTGGAGCCCTCTTTTGCTCGGGGCCTCTTGGGTGCCGTAGGCCTCTTGGTTGCCGTTTTGGAGCCTCTTGGGGCGTCTTCAGGCCTCTTGGGGGTCTTTTGGGGTCTCTCGGACGCGGATTTTCAGTTCGTGTTCCCCCTCTTGGGCCCTTCTTGGGGCTCTTTTTGGGCCCTCTTGGGTCGTCTTGGGCTCCTCTGGGGCCGTCTTGGAGCCTTCTTGGGCTGTGTTTGGGCTCTTCTGGGGCCTCTTGGGCAGTCTTGGGGCGGTCCTGGGTCCTCCTGGGCCGTCCTGGAGCGTCAGGAGCTCGAAAAGTCGAGGACCCCAAAATCATTGCAAAGCCTGAGGAACAATCATGGTTTTGCCGTCTCGGGGCCCTTTGGGGAAGACTCTTGAGCTCTCTTGGGGCGTCTCGGAGGCCTCTTGGGCCGTCTTGGGACCATCTTGGGCTTCTTGGCGCAATCTTTGGGCGTCTCGGGGCCCTCTGGGACCGTCTTGGGGGCCTCTTGGGGCCCTCTTGGCCCGTGTTGTGGTTTTCTTGGGCTTCAAACGGTCACGCGACAAGGCCCGAGAAGAAACGGTACGGCCCAGGAGAATAGTCAATCTGGGTCCAGGTTCCTTGAAGGCTTTCCAGGAATGAGGACTAACACGCCCACTCCGTGCCCAGCGGCACGGTGGCGGATCTCTCTTTCTCTCTATAGATAATGTGTACACATGTATACACATTATGTGTGTACATGCATACGTACATGTGTATGTAGAAACTGTATGTGTATATATATATATATATATGTGTAGCAATATGCACTTCTATATGTTTATGCACGCGTCTGCAAGTTTGTGTGCCTGCATGTATGCATTCACGCACACATGTATGTCAGGTGTGCGTTCACACGTGTATAAACATTAACACCGCAACACTCGATCCTCTCATTTTTGCTTCTTCCGCGCGTTCTTCCTCTCCTCCTTTGCTTCATTCTGGTACTCCTTAGGAGTCAAGTAGGGGGGAGCGAAGATTCGATCCGGGTTGGCTAGGATTCAAATAAGGATGCAATAGGAAAGGGCGAGGAGGAGGGAAAGGGGACGATTCGAGTAGGATTGTATGTGATGCGCGCACGAGTTTAATGAGGAAGGGCGAAGTCAATGAGGAAGGGCGAAGAGGAGGAGGAGGAGGAGGAGGAGGAGGAGGAGGAGGAGGAGGGAGGAGGAGGAGGAGGAGGAGGAGGTGGAGGAGGAGTAGGAGGAGGAGGAGGAGGAGTGGGGGAGGGACCTATGGGATTAGATTGGGATCCGAATAGGAACCCAATAAGACAGTGCCGTTGTCGTCGGCCCCGCGGCCTCCATCTCTATGGGCAAGATCCGCTTGAACGCGGCGTCATTCTACAAGGACCCCTCGAGCTACATTGCTCGTCCCATCGTCTCCGAGACGGCTGTCGTGCGATTATACACGTCTGCTGGCCTCAAGAGGCTCGCCTTGGCTCCGACCTGCGCGACTAGCCCAGTCGAGTACACGCTGACCGCAGACGAGGCGGACATCGGCACTTGGGGCAAGCTCGAGAGGGTCGCGGCACCCTACAGCGCCATTCGCTCCGCCCCCTTGAGGGCGGCAATCGACTCAGGGCTCGCTTCGTCGCCCGGTATCCCCGGCTCCAACGAAGACTTTGACGATTTGATTGCGGTCGTCGGCGGCTGGAGGAAGCCCGGCGGCACCACGAAGTGGGTGCTCATGCCTTTGACCTTGCTCGAGGCGCTTGCGGGCATCGGCTCTGCCGCTGCCGTGGAGGCGGAGCTCTTCCGTTTTGGCGCTGTGGAGGTGCTCGCCCCTAACACCAGCGTGCAGGACGTCGCCCCGATGCTTCGATGTCACAGTCGTTGTGGTCGGAACTTGCGCAGCCATTTTCGAGACGCCGGCTGGGCTCAAGAGCGACGACGTCGTGCTCGCGGCCCCCATCTCAATCGACTCGGCTGGCAAGAGGACAGGCTTCTACGGCGGGCGCGCTTGCTTGAAGGCGGAGGGCGCCATCTGCTCCGAGGTGTTTGCTCTGAGCTCGTCGCTGGGCCCCCTCTCGGCCGGCGCTGCGAAGGTGGACCAACCTTTCGCCGGACTGAACGCCGCCAGGGCTCTCGTCTACGGCCTGTGCACCGGTGCCGCGCGGCTCGACGACCGCATGGAGCTCAGCTTCAGAAGGATGGGTGGGGCAGCGGCCATCCTGAGCGGTTTGCTGGGCACGAGCGTCGAAGAGATCGAGGAGGCCGCGCCGGTGCATGTCGCCCTCGCCGCGTGCAGGGCCGTGGGCCGCGTCGTGAAGGGCCACGCCTGCGCGCCCGAGCCAAAGGCCCTTGGTCCCGCCCGCCATGCACATCGGCAGTGCCAACTTGGCGCTACCAGGACGAGGGCTCAGGAGTCAACCGTGACGGAGTCCGTCGCCCGCGCGGCCCGAGTCCGAGACCACGCTTTCGACTACATTGGCCTTGCTTCGACCATTGCCCCGCCCCCGGCTGCCATCCGAGTTTGGGTGTTCTTCTACGGCGCGCCGCTCGAACCACGTGAAGCTGGCTAACTGTTGTGGCAAACGTGCCCGCGAAGAGCTCACTCCTGGAGGTGTCGCAAGAGGCGTCAACGTGGTCGCCCTAGCTTCAGCCGTTGGCGAAGCAGTCTGGAGATCAATCCCGAACTCTCACATGGCGACAGGCATCGTCGCCCCACTGGCCGCAGAGAGGTACCAGGACGGGGTGGCCGCTGACTAGCTGCGCCAGGGCACCGTGGCAAACACGAACTCGATGAATGCGCTGGAAGCCAGCCGTGAGGCTCTCAGCGCGATCAAGGCCGCCAAGGACTGGCTCGAGGAGATGGCCCCCGAGCGCGCGCTCCTCGGGCCCAGGGCCTTGCAGCGCTTGCGCGAAGATGCCGTCGCCGCCGTCGGCCCGGAGGAGATCGACAAGGCTGTCGCGGCCGCGTCGCCCGAGGAGACGAGACTTGGACCCGTCGTCTTCGCGAGCTTGTTCGGCTCCACGGACGCCCATCAGGTACTCGTTGGGCCTGGCCATCAAGGCGGCATATCCAGAGAACCAGGGCGCTCATGCGAACCGCGTCACCGCCGAGTTCGCCCGGCTTATCAAGGCGACGGAGGAACCTACCTCAGCCGCCAGCTTTCGCGGGATTGATAGCTCCGTCGGTGCAGTCTTGCTCGAAATCTGGGGCGAGATCGAGGCGAGGGCCAGCGCGGGCTCTGCTGCGGCGGCGGCTGTCGCGGTTGCCGTTGCCGGGGTTTGAGTCTGCTCATCGGAGAGCATTGCGGTGGGGGGAGCTCAAGCCTTGCACGCCGCTTCCTGTCAGGCAAGTATCGGGGCCCCCGCCGCCTGCCAGGCCCTCGCCATTCCAGCTTTGAAAAAATATGGCATGCGAGGGAAGAAGACGGGGGGGGGGGGGGAGGGGGAAAACAAGTCCGATTAGGATTGGCTGACATTCAAATCAGGATTCAATCGGAAAGGACTACGAGGAGAGGGAGGGAGTTTTCTATTGGATTTGAATATGATCCAGGTTGGAGCCTAATCAGTAAGGGAAGGGAAGAGAAGGGGAAATGGTGAGGAGGAGAGGGGCAAGTTCCTATTCGATCCTATCTGGTTCCCATTCAAATCTTCGAACCTGTTCAATCCAAATCGAATCCCTCCCCCTCCTTCCTCCTCGCCCTTTCCTGTTGAATTCCTTTGTGAACCTGATTCGATCGTAATGGAATGTTCCCTCCGGATGAGGAATAGGGTCCGGTAAGACGTCGTATCCCAGTTACTCGTTACCTGCAGGTGCCGCAAGTCTTCCGGCCGGCCGCGATGTCTTCCCCTCCAGAGTGGTGGGCAGCGGCATCTCAGGGTCTGCTTCGGGACCAAAGGAAAATCTGCGACGAGGTGCTCGATCCGATCAAGCAGGGTGTTGTCGAGGTGAAGAAGGACATCGTAACTTTGAAGTCCCCGCAAGAAGCCTTGGGCGCCATGGTCAAGCAGCTCGAGGAGGGCGGGCCATTCAATAACTCCGGGAGTGATTTCAAACCCACGTACCTCGACATCCTCGGGTTCTGCGTGTTGCACGTCAAGGACGAAATAGGCATCACTCATACCGAAGCCGTGGGCCTGGTGGAGAAATAGAAGGGGGTCCTCGATCCAAGCATCCAGGAGCACGTCCGAGAGCTTCAACTGTTTGGTCCGAAAAACTATTCCGCCAGGGTCCCGATCGCGCCGCAGTATCTCACGGGGGTGAAGAACGCGTGGGCCGCGTGCCTCGCCGAGCCAGGCAAAGCGCGGAAGGTGGAGAAGACTCAATGGGTGCGGCCTCGAAGCGCCCCAGCAATCCAGGAACGGTGCGCCACCCTAGGCAGAGTCTTCGATTGGGACACGAATGCGCTCGGCGCCGCCTACATGCCGGTTGCCGCGCACTGGGCCCCTGACTTCAAAATCACCATCGTCACCAGCCAGGAGGAGGGAAACATGGGAGCGAAGCCGACGGGCATTCTTTGCGAGGTCCTCGACAAGGGCATCACTAATGGCAACTCAAGCAATCTCCGCTGGCGGGGTGGACGCCGGAGCGCGCCAACGCGGCGGTCGCCGCGTGCCGGCGCCGTCGGCAGTAGCGGCGCCCACAACAGCCTCTAAATTCGAGCAGCTTGGGGGAAAGCTTCTCGGTAGTTAGCTACAACGTTCACAAACAGAGATCGTCGGGGGCGCCCTTGATTTGCCAGAGCATGCGGCGTCCAGGCATGGATTCGTCGATTGTCTGTTTGCAGGAGGTGCCGCGCTGGACCGCTGGTCGGCTACTCCTGAAGGGGAAATTCGTAGTGCACGCTAGCCGCGCCAAGGCGGATGAGACTGCCAACCATGAGGGTATCGATTGTGGTTTTCTCATTCCTGGGAACCTGAACACAAATTAGATATGCGCAGTTCGGCCGCTACTGGGGCGGAGTGGTCTTAGCAATGGGACCATTTTGTTTCACTTTGTTTGTCAGCGTTCATCTTATTCACGCAGGTCGAGAATGTCAAAATGACCTTCTTGGGGAAGCGCGTGCAGATGCCGCATTGTATTGGCAGAAGTGCAAGCATAGATTTTTTTTTTGTTTTTCATATTTCCGTCGTCGTTGGTATCGACGCGAACGTCGCGCTGCCGGCAGGCGTGCCGGGCGTCGCAGGGCCGGCGGTTGCTGCGCCGTTGAAGTCACACACTCACTCCATGCAGCGCCGCGTCTTGGAATGGCTGGAGCTTCTGGGGGTGCGGGCTATCAATACTTATGGTAATTTTGATTTGCCTCGCGATCTATGGACGTGCGGGTTCAAACGAAGATTATCAAAACGGTCTCAAATCGATTACGTGGCCGTCTCCACCGACTTACAAGGCATTGGTAAATCTTTGAATCATTTGGATGTTTTTTCGCGAGCCATCCTTGAGTAAGAAAATGGATCGTCGACCTATTGCCGCCCAGTTGAGTTGGCAACCGATTATGCCTTCCCAGCGGCGGGACAATGCGTCGGCAGGTGCAGAAGTTCCGCGCGGACCCCCCAAGGGTCGCTTCCAGGACATTGACGTGAAGCACAGTTTCCAACGGCGCGTGGCGAAATATTATTTCTTACGATTGGATATGGGGTTTTATGAACAACGCTCACAGGAGGCAGCTCGGGAGTTCTTCGCGCTGGACAGCGGCAGCAAATCATCCAAAGCTCGAGCGACGTGCCGGATCCAAACGCGAAGTTCGAGACATGAGATGCGGATGGAGATCGACCCAGCTCGTCACGAAGCTCTGCGCCGATTTGTCTGGCAGTTTTTCCATGCTCTGTCCAAGTTGAATGCGAGCCACAAGATGCGCAATCTGTGCTTGAACAGGCGGCGAGATCAATCGACCTACCAGTTTTTCAGAGTTGGCGATCGCATCGCGTACGACAGAGCAGAATGGATGCAAGAAGCACTCAAATTTGGACGCAAACGATTCGACGACGCTGCTAACCAATATGATTCGCAAGTCAGGCGCTACGAGTTGCTAGCACATATCGGACAAAACGATTGCTTGGATGGGCTTGGGCGGCCTTTGGAATTCTGGGGCACTTTGCACGCGAGGGCAAAACTTCGACCAGGCTCCGCGGCTGGGATCGATGGAGCGTCGCCGGATGTTTTCAGAGAGCCCCCGCTTGCTGGAGCGTTCCACGTGCGCCAGATATTCGCACAGCGCGTCGAGACTTTGGATTTGACGCCGGAGTCGATTTATTGGGAGATTTTATTGTGTGTCGGGATTCCCCAAACCACATTCGATGGAGAGTTTGATCCATTTCGCTGGATATGCGAATCCCTTGTTCTTCAGAAGTGGTGCTTGCATGCTCTGCGGCCTCGACTGCGCGTGAGCATTTCTCCGTCGTCGGTTCAATCGCCTGGTTTTCGAGAAGGGGCGCCCGCGCTGCATCTCGCGTCGATTGTTCGGGAGTTGCTGTATTCATCTTGCGAGTGGAAATTGGGCTTGGTTTTTGGCTGTGCAAGATGTTAAAGCCGCATTCGACCCGATGCCTCATTGCATTATTGCCGAATCCTTGGCTTCCCGGGGGGTGTCAACGCAGGATGTCGCCTTGCGCGCGCGGGAGATCACGTCCATGTGGGCATCCATTGACTTGCCGCTGGTCGGCCGCGCGCCGCCGTTCCCTTTCGAAAAGGGGGGCGAGCGGGGAGGAGTGGAGACCCCCGACGAATGGCGCGCCATGGTGGGCCACGTCATGAACGTGCAGTGAGATCACGGGTGCAGCTTGGCTTGGGCTTCCGTCTGCCCGCAGAGGGGGCGCGAGAAGAACGCTGGTTCTCTCGCGCCGTGTGGGCCCACAACATTGCGCTGTTCGCGACGAGCGCCGCCGCGACGCAGCGCGCGATCGATTGCTTCGACAAAGCTTTCGGCCATTTCCGTTTTCAAGATGGTGGAATCTATTTTACGTGGAAGCCAGACTCATTAGAGCGCACGGTGTCTTCTGCGGCGACCGCCGATGGAGCTGGCAATTTAAGCGCGGGGGCTGGAAATTCCAAGGCAGAGTGCACATCGAAGCAGCATCTCATTCTTCTGGGTGATTGTCTGGGCGAGTGCGGCTCGACGCACGCAGGTGTCGAGCATAACTTGTCCAGGGCAGAAGGGCGTTGTTTTGTCCAAATCAGTCAGTTAACTGAAACGGAGCACTACCCCTTCACAAGAGACTTCGCGCACGCAGTATTTCAGCTGCAACCTGCAATTGTTCTGGGTGGCATTTGACAGCGGGCAGCTTGCGGGGCATCCGATCTTGGGGGCTGAGCACGTTGCGGAAGATGTTGCGTCTTCGACGGCGCCCCGACGGACCTTCTGAGTGTAATTCGCGGACCGCGCTGAAAATTATTGGCTGGATGGGCGCTAGTTCTATTGATTTCGCTCATGGCAAAGTCTTACGGCGAGTATTTAAGAGGCGTGGGTGGAAACGCAAACTGGTTTTGGACCGCGGGGCACTGCCGCTCCAAAGCTTACATTCTTTTCGTTCTGAAGAACTTTAAGGGTAGCTCTTTGGGAGATGTTGCAGTATCGGGAGCATAGCTCGCGCGCCGCTGCCTTGGGCTCAAGGCACGCGCGCCCTATTTGCCCGGACACCGCGAGTGTTCGCTATGTGCTGGAAAGATCATTACATCGATCTTATCCTATCTTACCCATCCACCCCTCATACTGTACCTTCACAGCAGAGCGATGGATGCAATTTGCCAGGCTATATGCCCAATTTGAGTTACCAGGCTCACTTTCGACTTGGTAGCGGAGCTGGCCGCACTCTCGTGTGGTCAGCTCTTGCTCTTCTTAGCCTCATATTCTTCGGCACGATCTTCGTGACCACCTACCACCCTGCGCCACCACTCCCAGTGCGTTTACGAGGATCTATTCAAGAGCAAGAAGCAACACGAGAGGTACGACGTCTAGACGACCAAACTGGTACCATATACGCTTCATCATTGCGTTACTACCAACCGCTCGGCAACGAGCTAACAGCGCAATACTTGAAGCAAGGGCGGGGAGACCCGCCAGACAGAGCGCCTCGAAGACTCGACAAGGCGCTACCCCAGCGCGACAACGCGCATCATAACCGTCCTTCGTTACACATTCTCGGGCTAATCGTTTTCGCTACCATATGGTTCGCGCTGGGGGCAGCAATCGGACACATGCGTCGTGGAGATAACAGCACCGATGGGCAAACACATGGCCCATATTGGGACCCTCAAGGTAATGTACCTTTTCGTGAGTACATCTACGA